CGGCTCTGGTGGGCACCTGGCTCTCAGCCAGCATCAACCCACTACAAGGAATAACCAGAAAGCCCTATATTTTGCAAATATTATTTAGTGTGTGGGATTTTCTTCTGGATAAGTAAGATTTTACAGGTATTTCATATAGATACAGTTATATAGGGTGCAAAGCTGTAATTGATCCAGCCTATTGTTTCATAGTCACCTATTCAAATAGAATGGAAGCTATGGAAGTGGCATGAAACAAAATAATAGTGGTGGGTTTAAGAGAAATGGCTATAGTTATATCTTTCTGTGATTCTGAACTGTTCTATTTCATCAAATTCAGGAAACAATATTCCAAAAAATCAGTGATTATATTTGTAACACTTTGATACCACCTATCAGCTATTATATTACTATTATATCAAAAGTACAGGACAATTTTAGCTAGTACAAGTTGATGTTGTCTCAGTACACCTCATTGCAACTTCCTTGCTGTACAGTGCCTGAGATTTGACCAAAGGTGATATTCCAGAATATTAATGACTTAATTATTCCTCATATATTTCCCCAGGATAACTTTGCTGCCTTTGATAGATTTTTTTTGCAACAGTATAGAGGCCTAGTATTTATTTTGCTTTGTGATGCCAGCTAAGCATTTGTGGCTTTTTCTTTGAGAATGTTTTCCATTAGATTTGTTCTCGTTTTATCCATTCCCTGTATATTTACCATATGTAGCTTCTATTGATCCAGCTCTTCAAGATTTTTCCTTTTTTTGAAATAAATTAATATGTAGAGATCATTTCTATGCTAACAGTTGATTTTCGCTTTGTAAATTTTCATTCTCTTTGATTATTCCAATATGCCAGCATGACTGTCTATAAGCTGGACATATTAGGCAGGTAAGTTATAATGAATCTACTTGGGGAAAGATATTGTTTCTATTGCAAACAGCTATTGTAATATTTTTCTGCTTTCTTTTCAGGAGTCTGTTGCTCCCAATCTCTCCGTCCAGTTTATTTTACTTTCTCTTCTGCGTATTTGGATTTTCTATACTGTATAAAAATGACTTTACTGTGACATACGGTTTCTGAGATGATAGATATTTTGTGTCCTTCAAGTTACTGATAGACAGTCCCCAAGGAGGCTTTTGTGGCCACTTCACTTCAGCACTGTTTATTGAACAAAAGTAAGCACTGGGGCCAGTTATTTCTCGTCTAGTGTGGTGCATCATATCACACTGACAAATAGTATCTGGCTGGTGTTTGGAGGAAACACAACCACCCTGTGTCTTTCCTTTGGAATGCTAGTGCTGAGAACATACTTGTAGAAGGAAGAAGAAAAGGAACTGACAACATTAGCATGTCAGATCTTAAACTTCAGCATCCCTGCTATGCCAATTCAAGGATGCTCCTGAATAATGACGGTGTATGCCAGTGGTGTGAGAAGTTACCAAATTCCAGTCAGGACTAAAAATCCAGTTCAGCTCTATTGTAAGCAGACTGGAGCAAGCTCTTTTCCTGGGTTGAATGGTACATTCTTACATTAGAGATGGATTTGACTGAGACTACTAAATGCATTTTTGCTAGTGACCTTTTCAGAATTGTGGCCAGTATAATAAATGTTACTAAGATGACATAAGAAAGGTTTGCAGCAATATTCCACTTTATTTTTTACAGCAGATGTTTCTTCAGTTACTCTGTATTACAATTTACAGAACTCTTATGTTCTACAAATCAAGATTCATAGAAAACTGTTTCAGTGCTTTAAGTCCTGCAATAAACAATACCAGCAGAACAGAACCAGAGGGAAGGTAAGCAGACTTCTGCATTCATCCTTCTCAATGATAAGGTTTACTTCATAGTAATCTTCACATTTCAGCAAGTCCTTGTACCAGGACTACCATCTAACTTCCTAGCATCCTCAATTTGACTATTACTTCAAATATGGGCAACATTAAGTATCAGTTTCCAATCTGAGAAGAAAGGCTAGAATTACCATCCGTTCCTTAATTTAGGAAGCTGTATATCTTTGTCCAACCTAGTATCACTTCTTCTAGCACCTCCTATAAAGAATTATGTTTTAAAAACACTTAGTGATACTGTATGCTTCAGTTCTGAGGTATGCATTTAAAAGAGTGCTTTTAGAGGGTAAGTCCTCAAGTCAAACTGGGAGTTGAAAATCTTTATGGTGCTTAATTGAATACCCAGATATTGAGAATTGCAAAATCACCACATAATTTCTTCAGATCTTTGTTTAATCATCTTGAAACACTGATATTTTCGCTAATATACGTTACCTTAGTCATACTTGAGTGTTACCCCAGTAATATTCAAAGTGCAGGTCCCATATGTTGACCATAATAAAATTAAAAGCAGCAATTAAGACTAGAGGTAGGCTGTGGAGTGTAGGCTAAAGCCTTGAGAAAAGCTGAATCGATTACGATATTACCAAATTAAGGCTGGACTCTATATTTGGTGGGGCTGAAGAGTTATGGTTCACCTTTGGACATTTTGGTCGACATTAGATGTCAATCTAGTCTGATCATGGGATCACAAAATGCTGTGAGGACAGACCACAGGGCTGAAGTGTTTTGTAATCCAAGCTCAGACATACAATGCTGACTGCGTGGCCATGATCCTAATTTCCATCACTCACGTGGATTGATTCTAAACTCTGCCTGTGATTCCCATCTGCAGTTTCTGATGCCTAGCTCCTGTGAAATTTTGGCTACATCTAAACTGGGATTGGACAATTGGCTTCAAAGAAAAATTGGATTATAAGAACAAAATCAGTTCTGGCTGATCTGATTACTTCATTCCTGTTACTTCAATATCATTTGCAAGAGCTCAGATCCTTGTCTCCGTGTCTAATTTAGCAACAAATAAGGTGTGAGACCTATAGACTGCATTACTTCCAGGCTCAGCTACTTATTCGGTTGTTTTTAAAAGACGTTATGGTATGGACATAGCTGTTCAACTTAGAATGCACCGCAGCAATTGTGTATGGCTCGTGTTGAGAGATGTGAAGGGTGTTCTTCCACATACGCTGCATAGTGTTCATTCTAACTTGAGGATAAGACGAGACACCCAAGTGTCTTGTAGTTCTTTTACTTTTCTCCCTTTCCTTTTCTTTTTCTGTGAACGAGGCCTTTAGCCATCATTAGGGAATTATTCCAACAAACCTTGCAAGTGTACCTATTCCAAAGTAAAGAAATCGTTAATAAAAAACAGTGAAAAGGAGCACTTATATTACAAAATAAATCTACCAGGCTTACAAAGAAAACAAATTTGAAAGAGCCACCTGCTGTGGAGATGAGGCAGTAATCTCAACAGCAGGAAATAAACAGAGAGAGGAAGAAAATACAAAAACATAGACATTAAAAAAGTAATTAAAACACTTATCTCCATCAACATACATAGCAAACAAAAAAAAAATCAACCACCTAGAAAACATACTCTATTGAACCTCACAACAGGAAGTAACAAAGCTGCCACTGTAAAAAAAAAATCTCCAGCAAAACCAGAGAGATCCTTTAAAAAATACAAGCCTCCAAAGTATTTACTAATGTGTTAATCACTAATGGACTGACCTTGAGAGAGGCTGAGCACCTGCAGAGCATTTGCAACTTTACTGGGCGTTTAGTTTTTCAGAATCAAACCTTTAAAAATATAGAGCGGGTAACTCTTTTGATGCCAATGGCTTTCTGTTCCGTTTCTGATGAATGTCACAGCCTGAAGTGTAACAGTGCATTTAATATAGTCAGCTCTGTGGCACAGCTTAGGTACCGTATTTGGATAATGCATTTCAGTATAGTTCACATCTAAATTGGTGTGTGATATTGATCCATGGACAGCGATGTTATCAATATTGATAAGAATGCGACTTCTTATAAACAAATAGGTAGAGCATATGCCACTGCATATAAATAGGTTTGATCGTGTCTAGGCAAAACTGTAAATTTGACAGATATGAGAATTTACAGTTTCAATGTTATCTTTTAAGAAAATAATCTACTTAAAGCTCACGGTCCAATTTATGCAATCCATGGATTGTGTGACATAAAACTGCTTTAAATATAGATTTTAATCTTCATTTCCCTAGACTGCAAATTAGACTTGTTGAAGAAGAACAGAGCATTCAGAAATAGTAAAAGATGCTTATGCGCTTGGAATTTGCAGTATGTTCTTTCTTTTCTGCCATGCACCTTTGTAGTCGCACTCCGACCATATGGTACCTGTAGCTGCAAGTCTCTGGGCAAGTGTGAAATGCTATCAGAAGTGTTACATCTGAAATATTTTTATATGGTAACACAAGGAGCAAGTTGGAACGCTTGGTGCATAAAAGGGCAGGGAGATGGGACAAAATGGGTACTTTTCTGTTAATTCAAAGGGACCCTTTCAGAAGGCAAATGGTGACTTTAGAAATTTACCTTTAGAGGGCAGTTATCTTAGCTCTGTGTCTACTTTAGTACATCTGTTTAAGAAAATTTAAAAAACCTCATACAAACATTGTTAACAAAAATAACTTATCAGACCTGTAAGTTCCTTTCTAAAATTTGTATCAGTCTCTTTCCATCAGCCTTCAGTGGCTCCTTTGCCCAGGGCCCATGAGCGGGCACAACTTGTTATTCCTATTCCTGATGCTGGCCAAAGGGGAGGTATAGCTGGTGCAGAACCCGCGCTGCCTCGTGACTGGCCGCGTTCGCCTTTCTGTCTGAGGCTGATTAGCGGGCTGGGTCTCAGCTTGTCTGAGCGTAGCCTCTCGGGTATTGTTTTAGGAGACTTGCATTGCCACCAGAGCAGATACACAGCTCTGGTATATGTTTCGTCTGCCCACATCCAGTTTCTTACGAGAGTCACACATTTTTCTTCTCATTCTCAGTAGGTTCTGACAGTTCAAGGCTTTCCACCTGGTCCTAGGATCTCTTGGGCTTCCTTCCTTGGCAGATCCCTGTCATGGAGACTGGGAAGGGCAGAACAAGAGTTTTCCCTGTAAATCTGATTTTTCAAAACTTTCTTTAACTCTGAAACACAAGCTGGTTTTCATAGATATGGCAAAACGTGGACAGACTTCCCTACCTGCTACATTTCTACCTAACGCTCCATATTTTTATGACATGATAACATTTTAAAAAAAAACAAGTCCCATAAATTGATGAATGGGGTTTGATATTGTTTTGGTTTCCTAGTTTTAAAAGGTAGAAAAAGGGATGTGCATAGCCAGCGAATCCGATTTTCTTTGTTTTCTTTTGAATTCAATTTGGATAAATTTATAAATGTAATGTCATTTTGAAACAAAGTTGAAAGATTCATTATAAAAACAAGTCAAAATAGAGTCTCTTGGCTTTTAAAAGAATAGTTCTTGGTATATTCAAACACAGATTGCATTCACCAGCCTGCATTTACCTTTTTACCTGAAAGTAAGGGATTGGTAAAACCAATTCAGCCAGTTCTCATCTTGAAAACTCTTCTGTCAGGATAGCAACAGCGAAGAATACAAAGAGAGGGAACATTGCTTGAAAAGATCCTAGCTCTTCATTTGTTTACCTGGTCCAGCTTAAGTTTTTCCAGAATGTGGTGTTATCACAATTAAAAATTAAGCGAACCAAACTTTTCAGTATTTGATGTGAGGAAAACCAGAAAACCTCACAATGCTTCAGTGAGTTGTGTCCCTGTAGGCTACTGTATATTTACACTTCAACTTCAGCTCAATTTTTTTTTTTGTCTGGAGATTTGTTTTCAGTCAGCTGCCGGTGAAAACTACATTTGACCCTTACCAAAGAAGAGAGCTTATTTTGTATGTCAGTTATTAAGACTGGCTGAGAAGTTCATTTGAAACTGCAAATCTGCCCAAACATGTCAGATTTAAGTAATCCAAACAATGAGGTCAGGTTCAAAAGGCATTC